TCGTTGCGCTTGTCGCCACTCAGCCGGATGACGTCGCCCAGCGCGTCACAGCTGCCCCCATTGATACGCGTGGCTTGAAGAAGCCACAGACGGACGCTAAAGACGATCTTCAAAATATGGGGAAGAAAGCTGAGAAACGGCATCAGAGGTGGCTAGCTTGGAACTCTCCATCTCTGGAGGAATGCGACAGGCTACGTACAAAAGCCGATGCGGACGGCATTCTGCCTGAGAATCCAAACTACCCTCCCATGTATCATCCATACATGTCCCTTGCACAACGCTTTGCGGAGGACGATGATTTTCGTGAGCAGATGACAACGGTTCGGATTCAAGCTGGCAGGGTTGCATGGACAATGGAAGTTGCCACTGAGGCCGATCGCCTCTGGCAGGCCTGCAAAAAGAGAAAAGAAACTGGAGCACCGAATCTCGGAGCCGAGACACTTCGTGAACGGTTTCAGCGCAACCATCTTACCGTACACGTCCCGGGCGAGTCTCTCCGCGGTGCCATCACCGCCGCAGAAATTCGCGCGCACCCACAGTCCCTGACTGGGTCCCGGGACGAGATCCGCTCCGGTGTTAAGAGAGAGCGCGAAGAATACTACTCTCAGCTTCAGGAGACTGCCAGTGCAGCGGGAAACCGCAGCGACAATGCTCCAGGAAGCAGTAGTGGGGGTGACATAAGGGGGAGCGGGACCGATCCAACCCCCCAGCCACCACCACATACATCCGAGTATCGTACCTCTTCCGGCGCGTTCGACAGCCATGGCCATGTCGCCTCTCCGGCGCCTCCGCCTGCCGCTGCCAGATATGCGCCCGCGCGTCCCGATGATGGACCACCTCTAGCAAAGCGCCCCGCTATCTCGAACGTGACCCACGGTTACAGTCCTGATTACGGTGCCCACTATTACGACAGGCAAATTGCTCCATATGACCGCCAGTGGTACGACCACTGGGACGAGTTCATCTGGGTCAAAGCGTGGGATCCTTTCGCCAATAGTGGATGGGGCGCGACTGCATGGAACAAGAAGTACACCTCGGGACAATATACGGGCAGAACATGGCGCTGGGATCCTCCACGCTAATGCACCAGGAAACTGGTTGCCATGCCGCCCACAAGTTTTTGAATGGCTTCCAACTTTATCTTATTGTTGATGCGCCCATCGCTATTATCTATCTTTTTCTTTGTTGATATCTATCCTTTGAGGACGCTCGCACTTACTTTCCGATCGGTATATCACTTCAAGGATTCTTCCCCTTCATGGACTCAACAACTGAGTGTGAAAGATTATGGTGCCAGCTATCCTCATGATGTGAGATCACTACTCATATAGATTCAAAAAAAAAAATATCGCATAATGCACAATCGCATAAATATCCTTTAGACTCGAACTGTGGCAAGACGTACAGATTGCATCTGGTACAGATTGGATCTGGAACTTGCATAAAAAGATTCACCACCCTCGTACCTAATCGTTCACATATCTTACTTTGATTTGGATTGGATTGAAGACTTCACATTCAGACATTTCTTTCATATCATGTGTTGCTTCGGGCACCGACCGTTTGGGTCGGTGTCGTAAGAGCTCAGTCTCTCCATTCCACTTCTCTCCAGCCCACAGCACTGTCCTGGGTTCTATCTCGGCGGCAGGCGCTGTAAAACTTTGTTTGCGGGTTAGCGCCGCCGTTGGGTGCGAACCTTACGACAGAGTTTTGGCTGTCCCTTCCTTTCCTTCCTGGGCTGAAGCAGTGGATTGCAGACAGGAGTTCAGTAGAGATTCACTCTCCTATCCCGATCCCCGCTTCGGTGCCTTTCGCCTTTGTGCGTGGGCATCGGGCGGGATCGGGACGGGGGGTGTGTGTGAATCCCCCTACTTTCCTCCTATCTTGCTCATATCCATCGCCCCTCTTGGCTCGGATGACAGGTACTCGATAGTTGGAGGTACGTTGGGTAAAACCATCGTCCCTCATCGTCTACCGACGGACACTCGGGGTGGGGTCGGTCCATTGGTCCTCCTCACCCTTACACAGGATGCGGAGGGGCGAGGCAGGTGCTCACATGGAAGGAGAGGTCATGAAACAACGCTGGGCTACGACGGACATCGCAGGGAATGGAGGGCCGCCGAGATGAAGACATACCCCGACCGACGATGTAAGTGTTTAGCAGATAGCATGATCGATCCCGCTCGTGCGACGTAGGCGGGAGGTTGCGATATATAGTGCCTGAAGATTTGGGGGGGCAAAGAGATCCGCGACGCGCTTTGAAAATCTATCACGTTTCTTGGGATCCGCATCAGGGGCAGCGCGAAGAATGGGCCCGGGGATTTTGCGTCGCGTAGGGATCGGGCCCGACGGGCCGATCCCGAATGCGTCGTTCGCGCCCGCCCGAGCCCGCAGCAACAGGGCACACGTAGGGCGATAGCGTCTTCGACACCGCTGCCAAGTCCAGGCAGCCAGGACCACCCGAGGTGGACGAGGAGCAGGAGCACTTCGATGCCCCACTTTTCTTGCGCGAGCAACCTTCGGGAACCCCGGGCTCAACGGCCACGCCCCCCCCCCCTCCTCCACAGCCAGCCCCTTTTTAAGATGAGGTTTAGGGCTCGAATCGCCACGAACGCGAGCAGGCGCTCGTGCGCAGGAGGGACAAGGCAGCTAGAGCACACCTCGCCGTGGCGCCGTGGGCTGCAGATGCATCGCTCTGGCAGCGTGTGTGTCGAGAGAGCCAGCCAGCGTGTCGGCAGCTAACTATTGTTGGAGTTTCGCGTGTCCCACCTCTGGCAGCGTGCGTTCGAGAGAGCAAGCTAGCGTGTCGGCAGCTAACTATTGTTGGAGTTTCGCGTTTTTAACCTCCTCTGCCGCCACCGCTTCCCCCGCACATACCTTCTCTTGCGCATGCGCCGACGTCGGCGGATCGACGCGCACGGGTTCCAAGCACCCGCCAGCATCCCGCCCAGCCAAACGCACGCCTCTCTGCTGCTCCCTTGCCAGGGGCCCGCGCGAGCCCAGCCGGGGCGAATGGCGCACCCGCGAGCGCACAACGCGTGCGAGACCCCACTTGCCTGGCATCGCTCGGACGTGTGCATTTTTCCTTCGGCGAGGGCCATCGAGGAGCATCCTTGATCATTTGGCGAGAAAACCACGCACGAAACCGAAAAAAACACAGGGAATGGACGTCCGAGCGATGGCCAGCCTGTGCCATACCGAGCAACGCTCCCCCCCGCCAGGTCCAGCAGCTCCATTGCAGCCAGCAGCTTGCCGCATGTTTTTTTTTCACGTTCTGTGGCCAGGGCCCCACGTGACCACGGTTGGTGGCAATGCTGCACCCGACAGCGCACCACACGTGCGAGGCCCCCCTTTTTTCGAGCGACTTGCGATGCCGCACCCGCAGGTTCGCGTCCCTCCGCCCGTGTGCCCCCGCCCGGCGTTGCATTGGATATTGAGGGTTGCTCGGCGTGCCGATAACCAAGGGTGTTGTCCTCTGCCGCCTGTCGCTCGCGCCGAGAAGATCACTCGCTCTGGCCAGGAATAGCGGCATTACGCATGCTCGGATTAGGATGGCGCCACTGAGTTACGGCAAGCAATTTGGGTTGGCAGGAGATGTTGCAGCACCTCCTCTTCTGATCTCAGGGCGAGATCGGCGCTGTTTCGTCTGCCGTTTCCTTATCGTACCGTCGGGGTGCTTACGATGTATTCCCGCTTTGTGTATGTGATGAGTGGCCGAAGGTTGCGTCCAGCTTTGCGCGTCAGCGACGTGTAATAAAGAAACAGCCGAGGACAATCGGCCTCGCTATCTCATTGTATGTGCCTCTCCCTGTGTTGCAAAAACCGTACTGTGTTCGAAGTGTATTGTATCTTCTGCTTTAAAGTTCGACCTGCAACAAAGTGTGCCCGCAATTGGTGCCCGAGCCGATGCAAGTTCAGGGCATCAGTCCCTGCTTTGTTGTGGCGCGCTGCATGCCGACATGTCGCTGACTAGCCAGCGGTTGAGTCAGATACGCAATCCGAATCCCTCCTTCCCTCTGCTGTCCTCGTCCATTTCCAGTTCCTCGGCGTGAACAGGTCTCCTCCTTCTCCTCCTCCTCCTGATCCTCCTCCTCCTCCTGCTCCTCCTCCTCCTCCTCTCCTCCTCCCCTTCCCCCATTCCGCCTTCCCTCCTTTTCTCCTTCGTCACCCTCATCCCCCCTTCCCTCATCCTTCTCGTCATCCTCTCCTCCCCTTCCAGCCCCCTCCCTCCTCGCCACCTCCTTCTCGACTCCCTTCCGTTCGTCTTCCGTCCGCCTTCATCCGTCTCCCTCCCTCCATCCCCCCCCCCTGCTTGTCCATCCCCCTCCGTGACTCCTCCTCATCATCTCCTCCCTCCTCGTCCTCCTCGTCCTCCTCCTTCCCTCCTTCTCCCCCCCCCCCCACCCCACGCCTCCAACCCCTGCCTCCCTCATCCTCCTCTTGCGCCCCCCCCCACCGAATATACAGGACGAGAAGTCCCGTTGATTGCTTCTGTTGCTGAACCCACCATGTCCCGTTGAATTGCGTATTGGCCATTTGGCCTCATAGTGTTGAGGCCACCATGGTCTTCGATGCACCTCCACACCCGATCTCCTCATTGACCCATCCGTATCATCCTGCACCTCCTCTTCCTCCGCTCCCTCCAAAATCGACCTCCTTATCGTCTTCACTGACCCATGTTTATCATCCTTCTCCTCCTGTACCTCTCAGAGTGCTGCGGCCACTACGGTCCTTGATGCACAGCCCCGTCCATGGCAGATCGATTCGTTGATCCATCCTTAACCTCTTGCACCGCCTCCTCCTCATCCTCCTCCTCCACAATCGGCTCCCCTGATGTGGCGTGAGGCGCGTTCTGACCAGAAGTTCGAGGTGGATCCAGCCGTGGCGACGAGGAGCTTCCGAGAGGCACAGAAAGTCACAACAACTCACAAATAACATTACCTAGTTGTATATATATATATAGATTGTCGAATTCCCACTCCCGCTCGGTGCCCCAGCAGGTTGACCAGTGTGCATCAATGGTGAGGCTAGAGATGCGTCACAACCAAGTCGCACTGGAGAGGATGTTCGCGGACGACGAGACCAAGGATGCCAGAGGAGGGGACGGAGGCGGAACCGGAAAAGCACATGACAAGGAGGAGGAGCAGCAGCAGTTGAAGGGGAAGCAAGAGCAGGAGTCGGAGGAGGAAGGAAGATGAGGAGACACAGGATGTCAAGATCGCGCTGATGAACGGCAACCTCCGCGCACATTCTGTGTTGTTACGGGCAAGTTCCGATGCATTTGCAGGAGTCCTCTCGCATGGTGTCGCGGCGGACGGGGAGAAGACATTGAATTGGGGCGACCAACCAATCGAGGTGGGCAGAGTATTTCTGCGATTGCTTTATACTGGGGCGCTTGACAAGAGCGATTGGGAGGATCCCCAAGCCAGCAAGCCGACGTTGCAAGGGCGCTGGCATATGAACGGTAGCGCCGTAGCCGACATCATAGATTCTAAAGTATGTTGGTGGCATTGGCAGCAGGGGCAGTGGTGTGGTTTGCACCCGGATGTATTGGAGATCGGAGACGACGGCAAGGTGTGCAAGATGCGTTCTGGCGACGTTGGCCGGGTTTCAGGCGATGAGCTTACGTGGTCTGATGGCGAGATTTGGTTGCGCAAGGACCAGGTCCCGTTGTATTTGCTTGTTGGCGCTCTTGCACTTGCCAAGATGTATTTGGTGACACACCTCGTTGAGTCTTTGACAGGGGCATTGAAGATACGCCTGAACGAAGACACGTTCGACGAAATTTGCGTGTGTGCGATCAAGCTGGATGTGATGCCCCTCCGATTTCTATGCCTGCGTTATGCAGAGCAGAGCCGTTTCATCCGCAGCGGTATCAAGGTACGGGCGTCTCACCCCATCGAACGTTGGGACGGAGAGGGTGTCATACCAGCTAGGTCTGAGGGCACGGTAGAAGAAAGGTTCTGCCAAACTGGCGATCTGGAGGGATTAAAGATGCTGCAGGTGGAGTGGCATGATTATAATTATTCAAGTGATCCAGACGAAGTCATGACGCAGATCCAGAGCATAGATGCGCAGCATGGCAGGACTAAGTTAAGCGATATGTACAGTGACGGAGCTCTGTCGCCAGAGGTGCTGACGGAGCTCGCTGGAGTTTGGACCGCACCTACAGGGACCTCGAAGCGGCAGAGGCTCCGCTGACGCTGTCCTGATGGGCACGATCCGGCTGAGGCTGACGCAGGCTCTTCGAAAGAAGCAGAAGTGCCGATTGAGTGCCTGATAGAGGCTCTTCGAAAGAAGCTCCTGGCTCCCTGATAGAGGCTCTTCGACTGAGCAGGAGTGCCTGATAGAGGCTCTTCGAAAGAAGCAGAAGTGCCGATTGAGTTTGCTGGCGTCTGGACCACTGCCACAGTGGTGTCGGCGCGGCTGGGGCCTGGCTGACAGAGCGCAGGAGAAACGGTCACAGTGCAGCTCACTTCAGCTATGATAATTCTTGGCGATCCGCATATCCTTGCCAGCCCTTCCAGGAACGATTCTCAGGCGAGTTGCACGGACCAGCGAAGCATTGGAGCAATCAGTGGCACAAAGAGGAGTTGCAGCTGCCTCATCACCTTCGCATTCCCCGTTCGCAGATTCCTCGGTAAGCTGGAGGGCCTCGCGCAGGGGCGCTGCGAGGGCCCTCAAGGTTGATATGCCTGAGTTGTTCGTGGCAGTGTGGATGTGCGCGAAGAAACCAGGAGGCAACTGCAAAGACCTGCGCGTATTGGGGTGCTCTTGCTGGGCGTTGTTGGTGGCAGCTGGGTCTCTTTTGCGGTTTCATTGGAGCCACTTTGGGGAACTTAGCGGCCCGCCTGGGTCCAGGAGGCCGTCGATGAACAAAGGAGGCGGTCGCAGTAAGAAAAATCGTTTCTTGGGGCCCTCCTGGTGCTCTCTTGGGGGGGTTTTGGAGGCCTCGGATAGCGTCGTGTAACTAGCCATCTGAGTAAGTATTTGGGCTGTCTTGGTTTGGAGCCAACACTGGGAGATACAAGCTGTGCTTGCCGAGGGGACAAATTTGCTTGAATATTACATGCGATATCATGGGCAAGATTTGGGGCGTACCAGCAGTATTTGCGAAACACGCCCGTTGAGGAGTGGGCTTCGGGGAGTACGTTTTCATCCTCGTGTTCTACAGTATACCACTTTGACGCACGCATTATCAACACACCAGGCAATTGTGCAACTGATTGGAGACCAGCATTACAAGAGCAGCAGTGTGTCTTGACAAGCGCGCAGGGAGGCCTGATAGGGCAGCGCTCAGGGGCCACAGGTCTACACCGCCAGCACCTCTCTCCACTCTCGCCCTCCCCGAAAAGAGTCGAGGGAGAGGGAGGAGGCAGGCTCTGACAGTGCGTGTGTGTTCCTGGGCCCCGCAATCGCTCCAACGAGCCCGCCATCTGCGGTTCACCGACGCATCGAGCTGCTCTCCAGGGAGGAGGAGGAGGAGGAGGAGGAGGAGGAGGAGGAGGAGGAGGAGGGGCCTTCTTCTCATACCATTCCGCCCATCCACGGCAGGTTCACGCCCGATCGACGCGGCGGTGAAGACTGCACGGGCGCTCAAGGTTGAAGGCCACAGGCGGCTTGAACCAGGCCAATTCTTCAGGGTATTTGTTGTGGGATCCAGCGGGCCGTTCAAGATTGAGAGATCTACGTGGTGTCAAGAGCCAGCGTCCGCTTCGACGCGATAAGAACCACCCGTATCGACTTGTTCTCCAGGAGCACGTTTTCTGCTCCTGATACCGCTCAGCCCAGCTACATGAGATGTCGTTGTTCGGGTAACGGTGCGAATGTATCGCGAAATGTCGGTGGATCAGATCGTGGGCAGGTGTTCGGCGTGATCAGATCAGGTTCAGATCGTGATCAGATCTTGTGAAGTATCGGCGGATCAGATCAGATCAGTCGGAGTTGGTTCGGGGTTCGTTGGGTCCTTCCTAGGGTGCTTCCTGCGTCGACCCCTTGTGAAAGGGCTACGCCCCGTGTCTTGCGGCAAAATTTGACTGCGCCAGCCATCCCCACGAGATTCGCCAGTTGAGGCCTTGATCGGTTATGGTATCGTCGTTATGCTGGAACACCGTGAGCATCAACGGACTCCTCTCCCAGCCTCTCGTCGTTCCGCCTGGTGCTGGGAGACGTACAGACACAGTTGTTCTCAAGGGCAGGCGCCATCCGCACGTTCGAGGAGGCCCGAGGCCCGACGGCGCGGCCCGTCCTAGCAGGATGGAGGAGGAGGAGGAGGAGGAGGAGGAGGAGGAGGAGGAGGAGGAGTAGGAGGAGGAGGAGGAGGAGGAGGAGGAGGGGGAGGGAGAGGAGGAGGAGGAGGAGGAGGAGGAGGAGGAGGAGGAGACGAGCCGAGCTCGTCACACTTGTTCGGTCGTCGCGGCCCGGCGACTCCCCAGGGCGTCGGGCGCCCGCACCGCCAGGGCCGCGCGAGCGCGCGGCGTCGGCGGGAGGAAGCGAGAGGGGAGACGGCTGGCCCCTCACGGGGCAGTGGCCAGGCGGCGGCGGGGCAAGGCGCAGGAGGAGAGAGAACACGCAGGCACGGAGACAAGAGCACATGGGAAGATCTGGGCAGTGGGGGGGGAGAAGACAGAAACCCAGAGAATACTAAAGATATTGGGAATCCTCTGATTTGTGTGTATTTACTTGGCGTGTCCCAGAGCCCCTCCAAAAGCAGCGGGCAGCAGCCCTGGGGGCCCCAGGGCGGCGAGCGGGGCAGGGGCCCTCGGGCGGCGGAGGCGGCGGCGAGGCAGCGGGCAGGGAGGCGCCAGCTCGTGCGGGCGGCCATGGCGCGGCTCGCGGCGGCGGAGCCGCAGCGCCACGCCAAAGGCTGGCGGGCAGGGTGCCTCGGCAGGGAGCCAAGAGGCGGGCGGCAGGGAGCCAGGGAGAAGTCGAGGCGCACGGGAGGGGCCAGCAGGCCGAGGGCAGGCGGGCGGGGGCGAGGGCGGATGGGGGAGGGGGGGGGGGCCGCGCCAACTAGGCGGGCAGAGAGCGGCCAGCGGAGGCGGACCTGGGCGGCGCCCAGGCGGGCGAGGCCCTATCAGCAGACAGGGGCGGGCGGCCAAGTGGCCGGAAAAGCGCGGCGGAGCCGCCGGCAAAGAGGCCGAGAGGCCAGGGAAGGCGCGCACGCAGAGAGCGCGGACAAGGCCCCAGGAGAGCAGCGGGCTACGGGGGGAGAGGGGGGGGGGGGGGGGGGGCAAGCCCCGCGAGCGGGAGCAAGCCAGCGTAGGCATTGTCACCCAGAGGCTCCCCAGCGGAAAGAACCGCGGCGGGCGAGCAGAAAAGCAGACCCCAGCCGGCGCGGCAAGGTTGGGACCAGACGCGGGCTGAATTGAGGCCGCACGCGACGGACAGGCGGCGTTGCAAACCCCAATTGGCCCAGCAGGCCCAGGGCCAGGTTGAGGACGAGCTGAGCCTGCAGCGATAACTCAGTAAAGGCGACACGAAGTCGGCGCCGAGGGGCTCCCAGCGGGCCATCCGATGACCGCCTCGGGAAAGGCAGAGAGCCCCTGCAGGCCCAGCGGGCGTGCGGCGAGCAGCAAAACGAGGCAGAGTCTAGACGGGGTGCGGCGGCAAACCCAGTGGAGGGCGGCGGCAGGGCGGGCAGACATCCCAAGGAGGTGAAGACCAGCCCAACTCCACGCGCCAGGAGCGGGCAGATCTAAGCTCGAGGCAGCAGGGGCGGAGGGCCAAACCGGCGCACACATCAGTCACTGTGCTGGTCGACCATGGTCCCCAGCCATTCGTTGAATGCCATGCGGAAGGCGTTCACGGTATCCGTCCTTCTCGGGCCAGCGGGCGGGCGGGAGGAGCCGAGAGGGATGATGGCCACATTGCGCTGGCGCTTTTCATCGTTGGCGCCGTCACCGTCGTCTGGCGCGAAGGGGTCGTCAGAGGTGTGAAACCAGTTGATGCCGAGAGCTCGTCATACATACATACATACATACATAAATGCATGCATGCATGCATGCATACATACATACATACACACATGCATGCATGCATGCATGCATACATACATACATACATACATAAATACGTACGTACGTACGTACGTACGTACATACGTACATACGTACATGCGTATATGCGTACAGACATACATGCATACGTACATACGTACATACGTACATACGTGCATACGTACATACGTACATACATACATACGTACATACATACATACCGATATACATACATACATACGTACATACATACATACATACATACGTACATGCGTACATACGTACATACGTACATACATACGTACATACGTGCATACGTACATACGTACATACGTACATACGTACATACGTATATGCGTACATACGTACATACATACATACATACATACATACATACATACATACATACATACATACATACATACGTACATACATACGTACATACGTACATACGTACATACGTACATACGTACATACGTACATACGTACACACGTACATACGTACATATGTACATACGTACATACGTACATGTGTACATACGTACATACGTACATACATACATACATACATACATACATACCTATTTACATATTTTCATGCACACATACATACATACATACATGCATGCATGCATGCATACATACATACATACATACATACATACATACATACATACATACATACATACACTCACCGCCATCTTTAGGGGTGGCATCATTGGTGATGGCGGTATAGCGTCTACCCTCGAGATGGCGCCTTCCTTTCTTACGGTCGGGGACCTGACACCTCGGATGGTGACCAGGACCTCGCTGCCTGCCGCGGTGGGCTCGGCGACGGGCAACCGCTCGCCGTCGATTCGCGCGCGTCCCTTATCCCCCCCGTCCTCCCTCCCATGCGTCACTTCCCTCCCGTCTGTCACTTCCCCTTTGCTCCCATCCCCCGCCCCCATCGCTCCCATCCCGCCTTCGCTCCATCACACCGCACCCCTCCTCCACCTCCCTTCTACTCCCATCCCTCCCGGTCTTCCCCCTCCTTCGCTCGCCCCGGCCCCTCCCCCGCCGCCCAGGCGACGACAGCTGCCCTCTGCACATCGCCGAGGAGAAGGCGGACGCCCCCGTGGAGGGACTCGTCGTGGAGCTGGGCAGGCAGGACGCGGGCGCCCCCTCCCGGCCGCGCCGCCGTCCACCGCCGCGGGAGGCCCGCGGCCGGCGGGGTCGCCTACGATCCGATGCGATGCGATGCGATTCGCCAGCTCCTCCTCCTCCTCCTCCTCCTCCTCCTCCTCCTCCTCCTTCCTCCTCCTCCTCCTCCTCCTCCTCCTCCTCCCTCCTCCTCCCTCCTCCCTCCTCCTCGGGCCGGACCAAGGGGGGGATAGGGAAAGGGGGGGGGGGGGGGGGGGGGACGAAATCTGCTGCATGCAGCTGGTTTCGGTCCCGCCGCCGGGCCCAGTCCTCGCTGCACGGGCGCCTCCGGCGCCGGGAAAATCAGCTACGTGAGCTGATTCTCGACCCCCCCCTTTGCTATCCCCCCCTTTCGCCTGGCCCGAGATTCGATTCGATTCGTCTCGATTCACCAGCATCGGCCGCGCCTGTCGTGCGATCCGATCCGTCGGCGATGCGGCCCGCTCCCGATCTGAGCAGGTCTTGCGGTTCGATCAGCTCAGGTCTGACAGCGGGAGAAGTCGGACGGGGCTAGGACGAGGATGAATCCGTTCCAGAGCGTTCCAGAACGCTCTCAGAGCGTTCTGGAACGCTCTGAGAAGGCCGCGTCGCCCGAGACGTCCTTCAGAGCCGCCAGATCCAAAAGATTCTCGATTCATCCTCACCCGATGTTATCCTCGACCTGGCTTCGTCTTGAGGAGCCGCCCGAGCAGGAGCAGACTCGGGAGCGGGCGAGAGCTCGCGGACGCGTGGGCAGGGCCCTGGCTGCTGCCAGGATGGCGCGGCGTTCTGCGAGTACATCGCGCATTGCGCGGGGCGCCGGCATGGGCGTGTCGGCGATCGGGCGAGAACTGACCCAGACCAGGGCGAGGTACAGTTGGCAGGAGGATCAAGAGCAACACCAGCTGTGACGTTTTTCGTGCTTGGGCTCTCCGTCCGGGAGTTTCCTTTGTCTGGGGTATTTTCATGGGGCGTTCGGCATTCGGCGAAGGGCCTGATGTTCTTGAACACATTATTGTGGCCATTTTCGGCTCAGGGGTGCGATGTCCGCCAGTGAAGTCATGGCGGGAGCAGACTCAGTAGGAGCAGCACGCAGCTGGTCTCCGTATCGGCTGGCGTTCGGGACCGCGCCAGCCGTGTTCTGGGTCGCGCGGGAGCGTGCGAGCGGCGCCGGTGGCACTGCGGTATAATTCGATACATGACGCTTGTTGATGTCAACAGGAGAACGACGAAGATGCGGAAGAGGAGGAAGAGCATTAGGGTCAGGAAGCTCGGGAGCTGGAGCAGCATGAGGAGCAGTCGCTGGAGGAGGAGAAGGAGGAGGAGGAAGAGGAGGAGGAGGAGAGGAAGAGGATGAAGACGACGAGGAGGAGGAGGTGGACGAGAGCGGCATGGATCGAGAGAGAAGAGGGTGGAGACAAGAGGGGAGAGGGGCATTGCAACCTCAGTGCCCTCGCGGCGGGCGAGCTCCCCGAGGACCGCCTGGTGTGTGAGCTCGTGCTCCCAGAAGGCAGACACACCAGGCGCGTCGTCGTCGTCGGCGTCGTCCTCCTCCTCCTCCTCCTCCTGCTCCTCCTCCTGCTCCTCCTCCGCCTCCTCCTCCTCCTCCTCCTCCTCCCCCTCCTCCTCTTCCTCCTCCGTGTCTGGGCGTTGGAGGTGGTCGGGAGCGGCATCTGACCGATGGATGGAGTGAATGAGAACGGGGCGTGCTGAAGTGCGGCAGGGCCTGACTTCGTCGTCGTTGGGGAGGATCGCGGCCATGCCTGATTTGCCCCCAAGAAGCACGATTTTCAGCCCAGGAACCGTTGAGCCCGCTGGCCCACGTGCACCAAGGCGAAGAGGCCGAGCGGCCGACCCTGGCTGACGTGGGGCTCAGTAGTCACAGCACGCGCTCGCTCGGCGATAATAAGCAGCCTCCCTTCTCTTTCCTCGCCCTTCTCGCCCTTCTCTCCGATCTCCCTCCCCTTGCCCCCGCCCCTCAGGAAAGCAACGTGTCGCAATTTCTCACTCCTGCGCGCTGCAGCCCGCACATGTGGACGACAGTCGTCAGCCAGCACGCTTTCTCATGAAGTGTCCTTGCTTCTTGTGCCCTGGTCTGGGCGTGTGCCCCAGCCAGCGGCTCTTGTGCAGCCGACGTGTCGTGCAGACACAGCATCATTGATTGGAACAGATCTTTGCACTTCGTGGGGACTGACGATGCTGGTGACGACGATAATGACGGCAAGGCCAACGACAGCGCTGATGCTGATCACGCCGACGACGATGATGGTGTCCACGTGTCGGCGATGAAGGTTTTTGAGGATTTCGGCGTGCGCGCGCGGCCGATGGGCGCGAATGGCCCGCATGGTATGATTTGACCGGGATCGTGCCCCCCCATCGCGCACGAACATTATAATGATTTCAACATGCGCGCGCGAGAGGCCCGTTTGGTTGCATGTGATGAAAATGTTGCAGCAACCATGCACGCGCGGACCTCTTTCGAAACGTCATGTTGCAACACGTGTGTTTTGTGCTTCTTTTTTGGGACACTTGATTTTGATTGTTCTGCGAGTCCGAAGGTTTTTGAAATATTTCCGCGTGCGTACGCGACGATGCGCACGTGTGCGCTTCGTCCCGTGTTGTTGCAAAACAGGTGCTTGCACATTGATGACTGTTGATACACGATTGCGCGCGCATAAATTTGTTTGGCAAGAGATGACGGGGCGAATCGATACTGGTTTGGCCACGATCGTATGAACTCATATTTAGCATGAACGATATGGCAGAAGTAGATACAAGTTTAAAAAATAGTTTGCGGATAATCCGGGAGGGGGAGGAGGAGACCCTGATTGCCCATACGAAAGGCGACAGTGTATGATGCATGCTGTATTGTGCGCTCTACGTGGTGTAACTTGTGTTGTGCCATGGAATTGTACAAACGAGTTGACAAATGCCACGCTCTTGCAAACATCCCCCACCCACCCGCAATTTGGTTTGCAAAAAACCCACGCAGTGGCGATTGCGATGAGTGCGTGGCGTTGGCTGGTGCATCTCTTCGGCCGCGCCAGCCCGCGCGTGCTCGCGCGCGCAGCGGCCAGCTAGTTTGGCGCGACCGACGCGGCCACGGTGGCGCTGACCGCTGGGCACTTCGGTGCGAGTCGGTGACTTTGGCGGGCGCGGTATCATGGCGACGCCGACAATTGTAGACACGATTGTGAGAGTAGCGATGTTGGTGACGATTGTGGCGATGGCGACGGCGAGGCCAATGACGGCGCCGATGTTGATCACGCCCGCCGAAAACGATGACGATGTCCTCGCGTCGGCGACGAATATTTTTGAAAGAGTTCGACATGCGCGAGTGGCCCGCGTGGAAGTATTTGACACGGATCGTGCCCCCACCCCCCCCATCACGCGCTCCAGGGCATTCGAATGAATTAGACATGCGGTGCGAAAGGCCCGCTTGGCAGAAGGCGATGGAAATGCTGAAAAATCTTAGTTCCCTTAGAATTTCGCAGGGCTGCCAGCGCAGGCACTCTTGAAAAGTAATGGGGCGAAACCATTGTTATATGGTTTCGGGGCTTGTGTTTTTGATATCGCTGCGAAACCTCCAGTTGGTGAAGGACCCCGGCATTCGCGCACGACGACGCGCGCGCGTGCATGTCGTCTCCAGTGGTGGAAGGGGTTCTTGCGACAGCACGCGCGCAACGGCGTTCGAGCGATTTCGATATGCGCGCGCGAAAAGCATAGCTTTCTCCGAGAATTCGAAAACGCTCGGGCGCAGGCTCTTTGTGTATGACATGCACACATACATACATACATACATACATGCATGCATGCATGCATGCATGCATGCAGACATACA